GCGGCGCCGACCTGGAATGCAAAAAAACCTAGGGATTGCAATCCTGGGATTGCAAAAAAAAAAAACTGGGTTTGCAAAAAAAAAAAACCTGGGTTTTTGTTGCAATCCTGTTTTTTTTGCAAACCTGGGTTTTTTTACAATCCTGGGTTTTGTTTGCAATCCTTTGCAATCCTTCGAATCGGCGATGCATCGCCGACAGCTCGGCGATGGGCCTCTGACAGTGAAGCCGCATGCTGCTGGGCAGCCTGCGGCTGCCGGGCCCCTGTCGGCGGATCAGCGGGCGATTGGGGGTCGATGATGGGCCCATTTTCCACCACCACTACCATAAGTAGGAGAGGGAGGAGGAGGAGGAGGAGGAGGAGGAGGAGGAGGAGGAGGAGGAGGAGGACCTCCTCATCCTCCTTTCCCCCCCGTCCTACATATGGTAGTGGTGGAAAATTTGCCCATCAGTCGATGCATCCCCCCGATGCCTATCACCCCCGAAGCGTTGCCCCTGACTTCCCCTCCTCCTCACGGCCCTCCTCCACGACCGGTGCTCCACGGCGGCGGCGCGAGCCGCGCAGCGAGGGCATTCCTACTTGAAGTGAGCTTCCGCACCCGGGAAAACAAAAAGGCAGAATGGGAGGAGCAGGAGGGGGAGGAGGAGGCGGAGGAGGCGAAGGAGGAGGAGGAGGAGGAGGAGGAGGAGGAGGAGGAGGAGGAAGAAGAGGTGAAGGAGGAGGAGGAGGAGGTGAAGGAGGTGAAGGAGGAGGAGGAGGAGGAGGAGGAGAAGGAGGGACGAAATGCATTGCCCACAGAAGAAAAACGCAGCCCGCACTACAGCATTCAGCATTTTGAATTAGCGGTGGTGCTCCTGGCGCGATTGGCATTGACCAAATCAGCGGCCACCGCCGCTGGCGGCCGTGAAAACACGTGCCTCCATCAGGGGTGAACGATTGGAAGGCGCAAGACGGAGTAAGAGAAGAAGAGAGAGAGAGAGAGAGAGAGAGAGAGCTGAGAGAGAAAGATGGAGGACAGATATGAGATAGCAGAGAGAGAGAGAGAGAGCGAAAGAGCGAAAGAGGGAGAGAGAGAGAGAGAGAGGAATAAAGGAAGAGAGGGAGGACATTTGATATACATATGTGTATATATATAACTTTTCTATATTTGTTTAGAGCGTGTTTCTTGATGATCGGCGATGACGGGCGTCATGGGGGGGGGCGGGGGGGGGGTATGACGTAACGCACCCCCCCCGCCGTGTGGCTCCAGCACCACAGCCGCGCCCGCGCGCACGACGCGACGAGCGACGAGCGACGAGCGACGACGACGACGCGAGCAGCATGTAGGTGGCGATCTGCCCCACTGCGCCTGTGTACACCACAACGCTCGCGTGCACCACAACGCGCGTGTGCACCACAGCGCCTGCGCACACCGCAACAACCGTGTGCAACGCAGCGCCTGTGTGCACCACAGTAATTGCGTACACTACAGCGCTGGTGTACATGTGTACACCGCAGCAACCATGTGCAACACAGCGCCTCTGTACACCACAGTGCTTGCGTGCACCGCAGCGCCTGTGCACGCCACAGCGCCTGTCTACACCACAGCATCCGCGTGCAACGCAGCGCTGGTGTACACCACAGTGCCTGCGTGGATAGGACAGGTAGAAGGAGCATGTACGTAAGGATCTGCTGCGAACAACTGAACGCCACGCCAGGAAAATGATGATAATCGAATGCGACATGTTTCCCTCCTCTTTCCTCTTCCACCTCCTCCTCCTCCTCCTCCTCTTCCTCCCCTCCTCCTCCTTACCCCCTGTCGCGCGCTCCATTTTGTCATAAGGATTCCTGATAACATAACATTATATATACAACAGTGGTACTGTGTTGCACACGGTTGCCGTGGTGCACAAAGGCGCCGCGGTGTACACAGGCACTGCAATGCACGCAGGCACTGTGGTGTACACTGGTGCTGTGCTGCACACGGCTGATGTGGTGTACGCAGGCGCTGTGGTGTACATAAGCGCTGTTGTGCCCGCAGGCACGGTGGCACAAGCTGACGCTGTGTTGCACGCGGCTGCTGTGGTGTACATAGGCGGTGTGGTGTACACAGGCGCTGTGGTGCACGCAGGCACTGTGATGTACACAGGCGGCGTGGTGCAGATCGCCACCTACACGCTGGTGCTACCCGTCCTCCGTCATTCCCATGCATTCCTAGACGCCGCCGGCGCGAAACGTGACGTCATCGACCCATTTCCACCCCCCCCCAGATGACTGCCGTCGTCGGCCCGGAATAACAAACAGGCTCCAGCCGCGTCCGCGCGCACGACGACGATGAGCGACGAGCGACGAACCACGAGCGACGAACCACGAGCGACGACGACGACGACGACGACGACGACGACGACGACGAAGGCGACGACGACGACGACTGCGGACCAGACTCCTATGCGGATTCCTACGCGGAAACCTACGCGGATCCCAATGCGCACGGCGGCAGTGCACGGAGCGCACTGGGGGGGGGAGCGTTAAGTCATAGGGGGGTGGGGAGCAGGGGCCATGACGCCCGTCATGCCCCAAGCAATAAAGAAACGGGCTCTTATATGTATGTAAATATACATGTATATATATATATATGATGTGTATATAGGGCACACAATGAAAGAGAAAGGGGGGAGAGAGACAAAGAGAGAGGGAGCTTCGTTGCGAAAGTGGAAAAGAGGACAGAGCGAAACGGAGAAGGAGATGGGGATGAAGCGGCCACCACGCAGCGTGCGCGGATCCGAAAACATTTGCAAGTGCCTCAGGCACGATACTCGTACTCGACGGAGAGGCGGGCGGCTCTTGGCCCTGCTCCGGAGGAGAATTTAATCATCAGCGGCCCACTGGAGGAGGAATAGGATGATAAGGATCGCCGGCATCTACGGCGCCAGCAGCCTAGCGCAGGGACAAGAGAGCGTCTCCTAAAAAATCTGATCATCGAGTCCCGAGTGGCGAACTTCGCAAAGATGGTTCATCGGTTGCTCCTCTTGTCCGGGACGACGGTCAGGAAATTCTGATTAGCGTGTCGTGACGGCGGCCCCGGCGACACGCTATCCCCCGCACGCGGACAGCGCGTCGCTCCGCTGCGCGGGGCGGGAAGCCCAGAAAGGCTCAGGACATGGACGCTTGGGAATGAGGATGTGGATATCTGTCACGTCGCAGCGTGGTTTGCCATAACCAGCGGAGCGGCACGCCAAGCAACATTTCTGACCGTCTGGATCCGATTCATCTTCTTCGTAAGACCATACCCCTACCCTCGAACAACCATGTCTTATAACTGGCCTAAGCTCGGGCGTCAACGAATTGGGGGCGATAGTGCAAGGGAGAAGCGTGCACCGTTTGTTCCCCGTTTTGGGCCCCAGGGGGGGCCCTTAAGGCCTCTTAGGGCACAAAAGATGCACCTTCCTTCCCCCCCCCTCGCATTTATCGCACCCCCAATGCCCGACGCCCGATGAGCTGTACATGGGCGCAGCTCGGAATCGCCTGCTGCTGCGACTCGTCCGCAGGCCACCTCGAGCGGCGACCTGCGAGCGAGAGGCGAGCGCGCCACCGAGGAGCGCGCACCTCGATCTCAATTCCGCGAGGAGCCCCCGAGCTGAGCACGACGCTCTCGACGAATGAAGCGGGGGCCGCCGAGGACACACTGCCGCCGAGCAGCGCGTGTGAAAACATCGCCGCTCCTCCTCCTCCAACTCCTCCTCCTGCTCCTCCTTCTCCTCCTCCTCGTCCTCCTCCTACTACTACGACTACTACTACTACTACTACTACGACGACGACGGCGACGACGATGACGACTACTACTACTACTACTACTACTACTACGACTACTACTACTACTACTACTACGACGACGGCGACGACGATGACTACTACTACTGCTGCTACTACTACTACTACTACTACTACTACTACTACTACTACTACAATTATTATTACTACTACTACTACTACTACTACTACTACTACTACTACGAAGACTACGACTACTACTGCGACTACTGCGACTACTACCACTACTACTACTACTACTACTACTACTACTACTACTACTACTACTACTACTACTACTACTACTACTACTACTACTACTACTACTACTACTACTACTACTACTACTACTACTACTACTACTACTACTACTACTACTACTACTACTACTACTACTACTACTACTACTACTACTACTACTACTACTACTACTACTACTACTACTTACTACTACTACTACTTACTACTACTACTACTTACTACTACTACTTACTACTACTACTTACTACTACTACTACTTACTACTACTACTTACTACGACTACGACTACGACTACGACTACGACTACGACTACGACTACGACTACGACTACGACTACTACTACTACTACTACTACTACTACTACTACTACTGCCTACTACTACTACGACTATTATCACTACTACTCCTACTACTACTACTACTACTACTACTACTACTA